GGGGGGGGGGGGGGGGGGGGGGGGGGGGGGGGGGGGGGGGGGGGGGGGGGGGGGGGGGGGGGGCACAGATTGGGCGTTTCCGTGAGCTTGCCTAAATGGGCCGTGTTTAGTAAAGGCGCGCGACCTTCACATCGGGGTAGGTAGATACCTAACCTGCGAGTTCCCTTAAACCCTACTAACACCCCGGGTTGTGAGGAAAACGTTGCAGCATCGTCTTCTTGCCTTGTGATGCGATACAGCGGTGTTTTGCGCTTTTGGCGACACTGGTCCTGCTTCTTGCAAACACCCACCGCATGCGTGTCTCTCGCCGTCGCATGTTATTTTTTCTTCTGCTCCACGCTTGTTGCGGTCGTCGACTCAAACGGCGGTGCGTTCTTCGCAACACCCGACACCAACAACAATTGCCAGGTGATCTACGACGTCGATGACGACAACGCCCTCATTCACCCGGAGGCCGGCGTTCCCCACGCCTTCTCCCCCTTCACCCCGGCATCAACTACCAGCTTCGCCGTGGGGCCGCAAGCCTTCGTCCACAACCCCTACGGCTGCTTCGGGGGCCCCGGCAACGTGTGGCCGCGGGGATTCCCCCTCGACTCGATCAACGACGCCGACTCGAACCGGTGTGACGAGGTGGCAGTCGACCCAGCCGCGGAGAACGCGCCGCCCGAAAAAGGGTGGCGGCTGGGGGTTGTGCAGGCGCTGGCCAATCACGACCCCGACGTGGACGCGGTGTACCGCCTCACGTACCCTCCGGGGGGGCTACCATTTGACTTCGAGGTTACGGAACCGGTCCCGGAAGGGATGAGCCCGCTCAAGATCGTGCCCCCGGCGGCTTTCACGCCGTATAATGCTCAGGTGATCTCCGGGGTCTTTTCTTGGCGTGTCTTTGTGTGACGATGATTGTGAGGATCCTTCTTGCGGGTGGGTGCCTTTTTCGGTGTGTGCATGCGTGGTCGAAGGTAAATCCCCACTTAGGAGCGATGGTTACGCTTCCCCGCCCCCAGCCCTTGCCGACACCCTACCATTTCTCTTTGACGTGCCTGCGCCGGGCACTCGCTTTTTCCCTTTCTCGACGTCGGGATTGTCACAAACAAAACCAACGACGTAACGCTTACGATTGCAAATCACCAACGTAAAATTGCCCACGACACCAGGCCACTCTTCACTTTCCGCCGGCCTTTTGGGGCATGCTGCTCCCGGTGACGGTACACGGGAGGGTCAGCGATATCTGGCGAAGCTACTTCACGCAGACGCTGCTGCCGTCCACGGGGGCCGTGACAGCATTCGCTCCGGCATGGGTGGAGCAGGTGCGAAAATGGGGCGACTGGGCGACTGTTACCGTCGGTCGTGGCGTTCAAGATGCACCACGTTGTCGTTGGTGTTGCTCGGCGGTTGGCTAATTTTTCCATCTTGCACGAAAGTTGCGAGTTGACGCTTCGCCCCAGATGAACTACCGCGCGGTAGCCCGTAAATCACGCAAACGTGTCTGCTGCGTGTTCAGAGCTCCCACAACTCATGGGCAACGATTGAGCACAGCCTTGTGGTATCCATCCCGAAGGAAATTGTAGCCATGCACTAAATAGTCCCGCCGTAAAGTGACAAGGTCAAGCAAAAACGGACCCACCCCCCGCCACCCCCCCGCATCACCCAGATACGAAATCCCCACAACTACCTGGCCGACTTCCAAGCCGAGCTGCCACTGTACGAACAGAGTGGCGCCCTCGTGGCATTCCTCGACGGCCACCGCCGGCAGTCGGCCGCCGCAAGCGAAGCGGGCGTTGGCCTTCCGGAACGCATCGATGCGCTCATGGTGGAGATGTACGAGTACGGGGTCCTTGATGAGGCAGACGTGCAGCTGTCGCAGGCTTGGTTGGAAGATCTTTACTCCGTGGGGTACAATCCGAACAGCACCGGATGATTCCCGTCACCATCCGGAAGCTTGTATTTTTTCCCCCCCTCGCCAATGCATCCTTGATTGTCGCATGTGTATCTTGGTACTCAAAAGTTGAGCAGCGGGCGGATTCAAGGTTGAGCCTGATAGGGGTCTTAGCAAGTGAGTAGTTCTTTTGTGTTAGAGTCGAGTGGTGCACCGCACGTTGGCGGGGGCTGAAATCATTGTACAACAATATGGGTAACTCAGTTTTCTTGTTCCAGACGGTCGCCGCTGGACTTGTCCTTGAAATCTGTTTCGAGTTTTGATTTCAGCAGGAAAGAGGGCCTGTAGCGCAAGTCCCAGGTATAACAACACCTCTCGTTATGTCAATGTGCGGAGATACCGAACATCTATTCGAGCTGAACGCGCATTTGCAACAAGAGGAGTCAGCGTAAACTACATTTTAAGCCGTACGGACCCAAACATCCTTCACAACCGACAGAGTGGGACGCAAACGGAGGAATGATAGTCTCTCCCCCCAAAAGGCACGAACATCTCCTGGCATGTTTGCTGCCGATAACCGCGCCGATAACCGTGTGAAGTGCTGTCTCATTGTACGTCGTGCAACTGCTGAAGGTACAATAGCTTGGTGTTGTCCGTTCCATTGTCGAGCGCTTGCTGCCCTGAATGCCCACCTTGAGATTTTTATTTCGGATCGAGGATATCCACGTGGACCATTAGTTTTATTCTAGCAGGGAGTGGTCACCACGACTTCCCCTAGACCAGTCGTAGTGGCCTCTCCGCCAGCGGACGTTGAAATCACGGATGTGGACGTCGGCAAGCTGGGGCAGGGAAGGGTACTAGAAGGAAGTGTGGGAGGTGGTGCGGTGGAGGATTAAACGTTGAGCGGTGGAGCAAGGAGAGTCGCTGCGGGAGCTGCGTCAAGGCTGATACCCAACAACCCGCCAAATAGGTCGTTATTTTTTTTTTTCTCCCATCATCGGGTTCTGTCGTCTGCCCCTCTGGCCCCTATCCTCCACTTCTACTAGCTAGACGACCCAACCGGGGTCACATGGGAGGGGGGGGCTGGACCCCCTCCTGCGGTTCCTGCCTGAGGTATTTATAGGAGTTTTTTCCGCGCGCGAAGCGCGCGTGCGAAAAAAAAAACGGAGCGATGGAGTTTTTTTTTTCGCAAAAAAACTGTTTTAGATGGGTCCTTTTTGTTTCCCCGCCTGGGTTCTGCGCACGTTGAATAACACCGCTTGTCAGCCCGACCCCTGAATTAGTTACTGTTCTCAAATTGATGTCCGTGTGTGTGTTTTTTTATTATTAGCATCGACCGCGCTAACCGGCTGACCAATGAAAAGACGTCAGTCTTAGTGCGGTTGAAAACACAAAACACTTCTATCTACCATGAACTGGGACCCCGTGAGGGGGCAGCATGCGGGAGGCTAAACTATCCTTCGGATTAAAAACAGAAACAGCAGCAACAGACGAAGAATGCACGCGTCTACCAAGGCTATTACCTAGTACTCGAGTTCGTTTAGGAGTACTTTCACCAGTGTCCTCCTTGTTTTCGCTATCATCATTNTGCTCTCTTCCACTCCTCCATGTTTTCCTGCTCCATCGTCGTCTTCATCCTCCTTTCTCCCCTTTCCCTTTCGTTCGTCTTCGTCACTCCCAAAAGATTTGTGTGTGCTTTTATTATTAGCATCGACCGCGCTAACCGGCTGACCAAT